ACATTTAACCATCCTATGGAAAATTTACTGAGATAGAAACGACCCAATATATGGTTTCACATCATCCTATCCTATCTTTGTGGGATAGACCCAAAAAAAAAATGTCTTTTTCTGTTCTGGGGATAATCAGTACTATGCGTAAGTTCCATTCCACCACGAGAAAGAAGTAACATTTTCAAGTTTCTGTCAATTTTGATCAACTCAATAGGTCCACTAGAACCGAAGAATTTATAATTGAAACTGAGAGGTTGCAAACCCCACGTTATTAGAAAACAAAATTTGTCAAGTGGTTGAAAATTGATAATGAAAAGTCAGCCAATTCAATCACAGGGGCCCCACATATCTCAACTAAGGTCATTATTGTAATCTAAAACCTACGTAGACCCCGTTTTGGCGGCCTAATCTTGGATTTTTACCAATAAGAAAACCAACAATTCTATCGCTAATTAATACCTAAACCAATTGAAAAAGAAACGTGATATATTGTGAAATGTTAATATACTAAATTATCCCTGAATACAATCCACTACAGGGACTTAATCGCAAAACAGGGAAAAAGAGCAAGGGTAATTTAGTAAAAACAAAACAGGCAGTTTCAGTTTGGAAATCTGAGTAAATCTTGCCGATATCTCGGTAAAAACAACTGGCGTATTTCACTCATTGTCGCGCCAATGCAAAAGACCAGTTCGCCGTGAAAAACAGTTACGACAGCCGGAGGAAAGATTTCCGGCGACAAAATGAAATCACGAGAAAGAAATGTAAAATTGATGTGGGAACGTACTGACCTTTGAAGATTTGGTGCTGAAGCTTCTGGAGAAGCGAGAGAGGGCAGAAGAGGAGCGAGAGGGCATCGATTGAGAACTGGATTCAGAAATTTCGCCGGCTGAAAGATCTGAAGGGCGTTGAGGCATGACCGGTGATTCGGAGGTTTGGGGCGGTTGAGAAAATAGTTTCAGGCCTAACGATTTCTTCAGCTTGCTCCACATAGCAGCCATATTCTTCGCTACTCACTCAATATGTAGAGATATATATTTAGACACAAAGAGAGAGAGAGAGAGAGAGAGATTGGGGGTTGTTCAGTTAGGGTTTAGTTTTGTGACTGTGCAGAGTTTGTGTATCTATCCAGGTAGGGAGGGACGATGAAGGAAAACAATAAGAATGTGGCCCAAGGCGCTTCTTCTACTAATAACAAATATCTCTAATTTTCGGTTTGATATTTAATTTTTAATTTATTTTTGTACTTACTATTATACGTAATTCAAGAATAAAAAAAATATGAGTTAACTACATAGATGACCCCTAAATTATGCTACCTTTTGTTAATTAAGTCCTCATACTAATTTTTGTGTCAATTTAACCCCTCAATTATATAGCTCTTCCATTCAAATTCTCTATTAACTTTGAAGAAAAGTCTCAGGCTAATCTCACTTTGCACCTAGACGAGATATTTTGATTTTTAATTTGTACATTTAAACATTAAAAAACGTAATTTGAATCATCAATGTTATGAATTAGTACTAATGCGAATCTGGCTTAGGCTATCGTTCAATTTTTTGTCATAACTTGAAACATGTAAATTGTAATTGTTTTAGACACATGGTTTTGTTTAAATTCACAGACAGTTGGAGTTTCATGCGAGTTGCACCTAATATAGTTAGCCTCTATCTGATTAATAAAATTCTATTTTTGGTATATAAATCAGTGTCAAATCGATCACTGACAAAGGATTTGCAACGATAAATATATTTCATCCTCATACCCAAAATACTTGCACCTCACGTGTTTCAATTTATGACAAAAAATTGAATGGTATTCTAGATAAATTCATCATATTTAAAGTACAAATTGAGATTTTTAATATTTAAAAATATAAATAAAGAATTGAAATATATTTAGGGTGTAAAGTGAAATTAGCTCAAAAATCTCACTTGATTGTGTAAAGCAATTCCACATAATTAATTGCGCTGACATGTCCCGTTATTCAAGCATTACAAAATTGTGAACAGATCAATGACACTTGAAAACTGACATGTATTTTTAGTAAAATTATTTTAATATAATTTTATTAATTTTTTTTGTTACAAATAAAGGTTTAGTACAAGGGTACTAAGGTGCATCTTCTAAAAACAAGCTTATAAATTTCAGATAAACAAATGAATTAAAAATTTTAATAGAATTTCTTAATTTTTGATAAGTTAACTAGGAATGACCGAATTAGGAATTAAAATATCCGTGAAAATAGTAGAAGCACCGCATACATGAGATAAATTAAAAGATAATAGACTTAATTGATTTGACCATATTTATCAACAACATACTATAGTAATAGTGGAAGAAAAAAGTAATATAATAACTATTAATGGTAAGCGAAGGTAGATAAAGATTAAAATTAAATTTAAATAAAAAAAATAACAAAGGTGATATTATAACTATTAACGGTAAGCGAAAGATAGATAAAGATTAAAATTATATTTAAATAAAATAATAACAAAATATATGATAGTTTAGGGTGTAACAGAAACTATGATCATCAATAAAGCCCAATTACAAAAGCATAATTCATGTAATCGACCAAAATTTATTGACAATTCCATATAATTGATCTAGGTTTATATATGTTATGTTATCGTAGCATTGCAAAATTGTTAAGAGGTCAATGACAATTCACAAGGACCAATACTTAGGTGGTGACATATTTTTTTAGTGAAACATCTTTCGATATATTTTTACTCGGTGGCAATTTTATCTATTAACTCGAACTTGATCCGATCCAACATAAAATTTAAAAATAATACGATTAGTTTACACAAGTAATAAATGAGTTAAATTAATGTTGGACACGATTAACAGCTACTGTACATAGAAAATAAGTATTTAACGAATATTGTAGACAAAAAATAAGAATTTTTTAAATTATTTAAAATTTTTAAATAATAATATATGAATTACTGTGTAATTAAATAATTTTTTTATTGACACGTATCGAAAGTGATCTGACACAAAAATAACATGATAAAAAATTACACAACACAAAAAATGATGCGAAACGAACGACACCCATACGAAAACTATAGAGTTTTTAACAAAAACAAATAGGAAAAATTTAAAATAAGTCCTATTTTTTTTTTTGTTATAAATAACCAAAAAATTCTAACATATTTCTATTAGTTTTACTTTTAATACTTTATTCCCATATATAAAATCTTAAATGGGACTTCCATATTCCTTCTTTACTCTTTCCCTATAAATCATTAAAGTGTCATTTGAGTTTGGATCACCATTTGCTCTAGGCTTCTACCAAATCAAATTATTATTATTAATTTAAAAACTCTTATTGAAATTTGATTTGAATATTTAACCGAACTCATTTTTACAATTTATGCCAATTTGTTAAAAATTAGAATTTCGACTTTGAATATTTGATACAATCGGCACAATTCAATTTTAAATAAGTTTACTAAATTACATTTATATTTTAACTCAATTTGATCAAAATAATTTTTCAAAATTATGACTTGGTTGTTTTAATATAAATATATCATAGGAGTTAATATATTTTTTAGGTAAAAAAATAAAACTTGTTGATGATTTTTCTAAACAAATATTTATAATTTTCAATTCAAACCTTACCGCGCGAGAGAGTCTTTGTGTAATAATGAGCCTTCTTCTTTCTTCTTCTTCGTCGGCTGGGACATAGTCTTTTGTATAGTTGGGCATTTTACATTACAACCAAACGGAGTATTTTCTTGTCTTATTTAGCCAGACTGTCAGAGTTATGGGCGTTAATTGTAATCTTTCCAAATCAGATTGTCAATCCACGTCAGTTGAGGGTAAGGCTGTCCTATCAATAATTAATTCTTTGGGTCATCTCAAATCTTAATCAAAATTGAGAAAAAAAGTAAAAGTTTAATTTGATAACAATTTCAAATTAAAAATAGGATAAACTCAAAACATGGTGAAATATAATTATAACATCTATTAAAAAAAATAAAATTTGATCATCGGAGATTTGTCATCCTTTGGTGCAAGTTTATAGAGGACTGGTGGTTGTTTTTAGCTTATTTTTACTCAAGTTTAAATATAAGTGAAGCTTAGAGTTATTTTAGTACTATATATACTAAAATTAAATTATAAAAATTGGGACTAAGTCCTTTGAATAAATTTATAATGACTTGAGTTCGTCAAAAAAACTTATTTGATGATAAGTCTATTTTTTATCTTACTAATAAGTATTTAAGTCTACTATTTTTTCAAATCTCAAAAATACCATTAACAATGTTATTCTGTTCAATTATATAAATCTTAAAAACTTTCAAATTAATTTTAAATTAATTTCTTAAATTAGAAATTATTATCCCTTAATTCAATTTTAAATTGAAATTCAAATTTATATTCTCTCTCGTTAGAAAAAATATTATCACTCTAGTACAATAAATAATTCTTTTTAGATATCATTTCTTCTTCCATAACATCAAAATCAGTAAGATTTAAAACATCATCAATAATTACTATATCTTATAATGTGTAATAATCATCATGAACTTTTATGTCATTGATTTAAAAAAAAAATGTTAAAAAATTTGCTCAATATGTTATTAGTTAGATCCCCAATTTTTTTTGTAAATAATTCCCAATTTTTTTAAATTTTTCATGTTACTACGTTTGTGTTGTTGACCATGTTACTATTTTTTCTAATTGACCATATTACTTTTTTTTCATGTTAATACTTTTTTATTAAATATATTATTATTTTTATTGAATATGTTACTATTGTTATTTTTAAAAATATTAATATTAAATATTATTATTTTTTTATGTTTCAATATTAATAATTTTTTGTGTTTAAATAATATTATTTTTTGTTTTTAAATAATATTTTTTTTATATTTGAATATAATAAAGTATAGCTGAATTTGAATTTTAAAAACAAAAAAAAAGTTTAAATTATTTTGAAACAAAATATAAACGACAAACAACGTAAACCCATCAGACAATTCAGATTATCACATAAATAATGAAATCATTTTCCCACCCAACCACGTTTACTCTCTCTCTATCCCAATCTCTCACGCCTGTGTTCCTGTACGTCTCTCACTTTTACCTCTCTCTCCCTTAATCTCTCGCGCCTCTACCTCTGTACGTCTCTCAATGACTTTTCGCAGTCTACGTCTCTCACTCAGTCCCTAAAATACATATCTCCCATTTTCATATCTATACCACGTATCTCTCTCACACTCTTTCTCTACCAACGACCTCGCCACCGCCACCTCCACCTCCACCTCCACTTCCACCGGTGATACCAGGTTTCGCTCTCTCTCCCACTCTCTATCTCTGTTCCTCTATTTCCTCAGTTTTCTTTCCCTCCTACCTTTCTACCAGGTACTCTCTCTCTCACTCCAACCCAGAGTCCCCAACCTGAAAACTCAAAATTGTCTGAAATTGCCCGCCAGCGAAACACCACTGCCGCCTTAAGAGGTATCTTTCTCCTTTCTTACTATGTTCCTCTCATTCTCCTTTTCTTTTGTACACTGTAAGCCACCACCCCACACCCCTTGAATCTCTATCCCCACATCACAACACTCCGACGACTCTCTCCCCCCTCTTTTTGTTCCCTAAAACTGCCTATAGCACACACACACACTCTCTTCTTCAAAATCCCTCACAGCACGCACATAGCACCGCGACCATGATACCCCGTCACTCTTTGCCTCCACCCCTTCATTTAATCAACACACACCAGCTGTTCGATTGTTTGCTGCAAAGAAAATACACATATTTCTTTGCTATATTTGTCCAATATATTCGGTATATGGCTATTTTGTAGTTTGATGAATTTTAGTGATTGGTAACAGGGTGATCAAATTGTGTTGTGTTTAATGGAGGAAAAAATGTCATCAAATGTGGGGAATGCATGGGGAATACTTCCCAGACAGTGTTTTTAGGTAGTGAGTTTTTAGTGTCCAGTTCTCCTTTCATATTTTTCTCTGTTTGATTGCACAAGTTTTCCAATAAAAGCTCAATACAATCATCCAATCAATATCAGTAAAGGAATCTATATATTCATTTTTGTTTTATTGGCTTTTTGGCATCCGAGTTGTTTGATAATATGTGTAACTGATGGTGTTTTGCCTTATTTTTTGAATAATGAGGAGTAATGACAAAGATAATTGGAGGAGAGGAGTAGCAGACAAGATAATCAATTTTTGGGAGAGAATGGTGGAGTATAATCTAAAAGCATACATATATATACACACATATAAATTTTAAATAAAAAATTATTAAACTTGACAAACATGAAATCAAACATATAATTAAAGAAAATTCATACAACAAACATGATATCAAACATATAATTAAATTGAGAAGTAATATTAGCATGTATCCCACTGAAAAAATTCATACTAAAAAATATTTTTGTGAGTGCCTGAGATGAAATAGCGAATAAAAGTCTAATTATTACAAAATATGAGGTGAGTTTACTTATTAAACGAGGTATATGTAGTATGAGGCGGATTTAATTACTAATGGGGTGAATATAGAAGTGGTGAGTTTAATAGTTTGATAATGAGAAATTAAATGGAGTGAGAATGAAGATTTCCCACCCAAATTTAAATTCGATTAAATTTTATGAATATTTAAATTGAACTTAAATGGAAATTGATTTTAATTTTTTAACAAAATTTTATACATTTACGAAAATTCATGTGAAACTTTTGAATGTTTTTCTCACAAAAATTACACGAATTCATATTGGAAAAATGGTGCAGAGATAATGTTATGAACTTTAGGTAAAAACCTACAGAAAAATAAATAGTTATATTTTTTTAAAATTTGAAATAAAGTTTATTAAAAATGTTAAAATTGTGGATGTTTGATCAATAATAATTCTATTTTCTCGTATTTTTGAATGAATATGTTACAGTAGTTGTACTGTAATTTTTATTATATAAATATTTGATTATATATGTTCTGCATATATATTAAACAATATCAATTTGATCGTTGTATTGTTGATATTATATTATATATTGCATTTATTTATGAAAAAATATTTACAATTTTTTACGAGTAATGTATTGTCTTCACGCACGGATAATTAGTAGTGTGTGTGTGTGTGAGAGAGAGAGAGAAAAATAATCTTAACTTATATATGGATATAGATAGACTAGTCATAACCTATGTTTGAAGGCACGATAATAGATAAAATTTGAATGCTCAAAAAAGTCTATCAAACTATATTAAATAACAATTTTTTTCCTTCATTTTTTTGATTATATCATTTAAAATCTATGTCTATCAATTATTTTATTAAAATACGTAATTTGATAAAAAATTTCGACATATGAATACTATCGTTCATAGATAATGTTTAAAATAAAAAATATATTAAATTATAAATTAATTAAATATTAAAATAATTGGACATGTGATATAAATGAGTTATGTGATGTTTTTAGAAGAGAAAATGTGTAGGAGATAAAATTCAACTTGTGAGTTATATATATATATATATATATATATATATATATATATAGTGTATTTAAAACGTTTAAGAGATAAAAGAGAGAGAGTTATATGAGAAATAAGAGAATTAAGTCCAATTATGACCATCAGATCAATATTTATGAGATGATTTGAACCGTCTTTTATGTTGAAATTACGTTGTCCGTTGAATATATTTATGTTTTGTCTCAAAACGATCGGGACTTCTGTTTGTCTCCATAATTTAAATTCAGTACTACTTTATTATATAGATATGAGAGAAAAATTTTTTTAACGTTAATCAAACTTCTAAAATTTATGAGTTTTTAATTTTTAATTTTACTTCACTTATAAAGGGAAGTGATAGTCTCGTAAAATCAACAAAAAATAGACTTCATAACAAATAAATTTCTTTTCAGCGAATTTAAGTTCAAATAAATTCATATAAGAGAACTGACATTTAAATTTCTCAATTAAATTTTAATTATGAAAAAAACATAAAAGAAGAGATACAATAACAAAAAAACATTAATATTCAAAACAATAGTCTAATCCAACAAAGTACTTAAAATTTGTCTACTGAAATACCAATACAACTGCCATTACTACTACCCCAACAAGCACAGCAACAAACTTATAAAACGGAGTATCATATTTACATCGAGCTTGTTGTGGTTTGAAGCTTTTCAGTATAATGTCGTTCATGGCGATATAGTTTAAAACACCAGAAGCAAGGCCCATTGAGACGACGTTGATCCAATCGGCTAGGTGGCCTTGGGTGGTGGAGTTGATGGCGATGCCGATTCCGACGCCTACAGGGGTTGAAATGGCTAACCCAAAAGAATAAGCCACTGTTGTTAGAAATGGCCTCTTTGGTTTCAGTCTCAGCACCGTAATCCCCATGGCAATGGCTGCAAATGTCCTGTGCAAGGCTATAACCCACATGTTTCTCCATGCGGTTCTTTTGTTACCTGAGGAGAGAGAGTCAGAGAACAGACGAATAAATAGTCATGTATGTACTTGATCAATTAAAATTTAAAATTCAGAATGAAAAGTATGGCTATAATTGAAAATTTTTAATTTTCTTGTAATTTTAAACTAACCTCAAAAGTTTTCAAAATTTTCATTCCTCCTTCCACCCCAGGGTAGGGGGATATTAAAATGAACATTTAATTCCCAACAAACCCTAAAACTCCCCCTTTTGCTTTTTAAAATAATATTATTTAAACTTAATTTAAATATATAATTTAATGAAAAAATATTATTTAATTTAAATTCATATTATCTTTTTGAATAACTTTTTGGATAACTATTAGATGTGTAGGCCAACTAAAAAAATTGGTGACATCCACTCATTCTCATTCTAAAGATAATATGCAAGTTTTTGATTTTTATACCAATAAAACCCAAAAAATGTTGGCCTGTTTATGCCCTTCTTCCCCTGTTTTCTTTCTTATTTTTCAAATTTTATTTGCAATCAAAGATAAGAAAAAAAAAAAAGAAAAAAGCACTATAATGCACCTACATACACTCGCTTACCTGCTACTCCAACAACAATGCCCTCAAACACCGAATTGCAACACAAGGCAAGGAGTATAAATACTGTGTACCGGAAGGTCCGGAACGATGCCTCCTCCATTAACCCTCGGCTGACATCCACTCCCATCTCTTTCCCACCCTCCTCCGCCGCCATTCTTCCTCTTCCCACTTCCGGTTCTGCCTCTCCTCCGCCGTCCTTTTTACCATACACCACCTTACAATCACCCAGCAATGCGAGAAGATAACCCACGGAGGCCAACATGACAGGAAAGTACTCTTTCATACCAAGATAATCAAAAAGAGAGATTGTATCCCCCAAGAAATGCATCAGTGAGGTACCCAGAAACACCCCACCAGCAAATTGAGTGCCCAATACTAGAAAGCTCTCATTTTTTCTGAAAAAATATGGCGAGAACCCAACAAAGAAGGTGCTGAAAAATAGAATGATCAGACACCATATTTTCACCAGAATTACGTCTTTTGAACGCAAGCCTGTGGTGATACAGCAGATATGTTCGTCTACTAGAGCTTTGATCTTGAAGAACTGCAGGAATAGAAGAAGGGTTATTATTATGAGGGAGGTTGAGTTCATAGTTTTGGGAGAAGCGGCCATGAATGAGCTTGGGCTGAAACTTTCTTTGCTCTCTTGTGTTGTCTGAAACAACAATTAAAATATAGAAGAGGATAGAGTTGGTCTGGGTCCATGCCTTAAACAATATGAGCTGTACACGGCTTTCTGACAGTAGAATATTTTGCTTTGGCGCGTACGGACCACTTGTAAAATTCACAATTAATTTAATGTTGGTGTTAAATTAAATCCTATAAGATTGATCATTAGAATTTAGGAGATTTCATTTTAAAATGGGTTAATTGTAAGTTGTACCTCGAAAGATAGTGATAATTTTAATTTGTACTTTCAAAGATCAAAAATTTTAATTTATACCCTCAAAGATAAATATTTGTATTAATGTGCACCCTCAAAGATAAAAATCTCAATTTACACCCTTAAAAATAAAAATTTGTATCAACGTGCACCTAAAACTAAATTGATAAATTATACTTAAATCCCTTCATGCTTGTCATTTAATCATTTAGACTCCTTCACATTTACAATATTACTCATATATCTCATAACGTTTGTGAACGTGTAACATGTAATTCCTTTTCATTAATATCTGTTAATATAACTGTTAAAAAATATGATTTTATCCTAATAAAAAATTATAATTTTATATTTTCTTTTATTTTGTGGGTTCGATATACTTTAAAGTTCAAAATCAAGTTTACCATTGGACAATATAATTTTTTATTAGAATAAAATTATATTTTTTAACGGTTATATTAACAGATATCAATAAAATGAGGTTAGGTGTTACACGTGCACAAACGTTATGTGATGTAGGAGTAATATTCTAAATGTGAAAAAGTCCAAATGATTAAGTGACAAGTACGAGAGAATCTAGGTATAATTCATCAATTTAGTTTTAGGTTGCATATTGATATAAATTTTTATCTTTGAGGGTATAAATTGAGATTTTTATCTTTGGGAGTGCACAGTAATACAAATATTTATCTTTGAGAGTATAAATTAAAATTTTTTATCTTTGAAAATACAAATTAAAATTTCAAAAATCTTTCAAGGTATAACTTGTAATTAACCCTTTTAAATTTGATACTCCATCCTTTTCTATTTAAAAATAAAATAAAAAAATCACGTGAATGAATCCCTTAAGGTTTGACAATCATTCAAACGCACTCAATTTATTCAAAGACCTGACAGAAACGGAAAGAAAAGGTGGACAATAATCATCATATACCAAGTATGCTTGACTGAGTCACAGCTACCAACTTCAGTCTAGAATGGTGACACAAGATAGGGATCTGTTACGGTAGAAATCCTTTGCAAGAGCAACTCCAAGTAAAGTTGTCTTTTGGGACATCAAATGTTATTTTATAATTTTGAACAATGTTTTGATGCCTCTGATTTATAATTTTGTTCTAATAGTAGATGTCAAAATAAAATATTATTTTAATATTTTTTATTAAAAAAATATAATTAAATTTAACGATTATATTTTAACAAATATAATTTTCATAACGATCGCAATTTAACGGATAAATTTTTATAGTAAAAATTTAAATTTTCAAATTTCAAATTTCAAATTTTGTTCGTCGAAATTCAAATTTCAAAATTCAACCATTCAAATTCAAATTTAAAAACTTAATTGTCAAAATAAAAATTCAAAAAAGTATAATTTGTTTATAAATATGATTATTTTTCTCATATTTTCATTCATTTATATTACATTCTCTCTATAAATTCAATATCTTCTTTCTCTTTGACTATTTATCCTTTCATATTTTCATTCATCAATCTATATGAATCGTTATCCTAATATTTTAAGAGAGATCCTCAATATTGAAGAAGAAGATAATGAAGACTGGGATATATTGTATTCTGCAACCAGAATGTCAGAAAGGTCTAACCAGGGACGGATAAGAAGACATTGTGGTTTCGTTTCAAGCCATAGAACAGTTAATCGCGATAGAGTTGAAGGTCAGGAAAGACTCTACCATATAGCACTCCCCGTTGGAGTTGCTCTATGTTTACATTTATGTCTTTACTTTAACTAGTTCCTTTCTGCCTCTAGTACTTTGATTTTAACCAGCACAAAAAAAAGATTTTTTTTTTTTGGTCAGGAAAAAGAAATTTCATTAGAACTCAAAATATAAAGCAATACAAATTTCAATCATAAACCCTACACCTACTCTTGCTTCTTGCCTAATTAAACTCATTAGAGCATTTTGGGGGTTTTTCTGTAGATGATCTGGTACCATTCGCCTTCTAACCATAACTATTAGCATATTTGTAACTTTGTTCTAGTTTCTTCTCACTGCTTTGAATTCGATAGCTGGAAAAAGTTAAGCATACTTCCATATGTCCTGCTGAATAAGTTCAATTTCCTTCATTGTCGCCACACAACCTCTGTTCCTAGGAAATCTATGAGTTGCTTTGAGTCAAATTCAATGATCACAGCTCTGTAACTTTGCTCCACTGACCTTTCAAAAAAAAACTTTGCTCCACCGCAAGTTGTCTTAAATGCATATGCCTTTGTCACAAAAGCAAAATTTGCAAGAACTGATCGGGCTTCCCCTAGACACCCAGTAGCCTTCATGGTTAATGTTTACTTTGACATCAGTCCTATCAAAAACAAAAATTCCAATTAAACATTAAGATGAAACTTGTGCATGGTGATTCTTACACAATAAATGAATAGATAGATCTCTCCCGTGGCGGATGCAAATTTTACCTAGAAAGTCGATGATCCCGTGGAAAAAAGAAGTGAGAATTGGTATAAGGAGTGGTAATGAATTATTTACTAGCATTCTAAATGATCCCAGCATATCGAGATAAACTTTGTCGCTCAAAAGGAAGGTTAGAAGGACGCTACAATATTTTTCGGTGTGATCCTTCCGACAATCAAGTCAGTATGTGAGAGAGAGGTGAGAATTCATTATTTTATTGTTTGAGTGAGAGTGTGCCTATCTTTGTTTCAAATTTATGAAAGTTATTTATACCTCCATAGAGATAATTATTGCAAACAGGTAGGTTCTTTGGAGGTGAAACCCTTCATTGGCCCATTTGGAAGGTGACTTGAGGAGCATAATCCTTGGGCAGGGTGCTTTTCTTGTCATGTGGAAAGAAGTCTTTGCATTTAATGCTCGGATTCCCAAATATTTATGCTCTCCTTTTGAAGTCCGCTGAGTAATAAATGTGTCTCATCCTTCTGAAAGGTCATTTAATATTTTCTTGTGGTGGCTACGCACATGTTGGAGCACTTTTGTCCATTGACTCCCAGTTCTGTAATCTGCACCTTGTGTTCGTGTATCATCATTATTGGTCACTAACTCGCTCTTTGTGCCATTTTGACTGTCTTAGGAAGGGAAGTCAATGATTATTGACTAACTTTGACTCCAAGTCACGATAACCATCAATCTTGTTATCCATATCTCGTCGACGTGAAGGTTTTGAAGTTGAGGTGACGTGTCTGGTTGAAAAGCTCAGGGCGGAACACAAGCCGAGGGCACGTGTCACCCTAGCGATGCTCAAGGTTGCCAAATGCCAAGGACACACGTTAGTTGTAGAGGACTCCAAGGAATACACATCGAGGACACGTGTTAATTGTAGAGAGCTCTGAAGAACGCATGCCGAGAACACGTGTTAATGTACACGGTGTCCGAGGTACTTTCATGCCGAGACTATGTGTCTTCCTCCGAGCAATCGAAAGATTATTCATGCCAAAAACATGTGTCACCTGAGGGAGTGCCCACGTCCCTGATGTCACAGACACGTCGACTCCATCTTAACTCTCAGACATGTCCCATCAAAATTAATCCAAACAATCTCTGCCAACCTCATTACGGTGAATTCACCACCATGTCCTCCCATTTGAACCCACTGCTAATTCCAAAACTTAAATCACCACCTCTATCCAAGGGGTCAAGTACAGTTGTCTCCACTATAATTTAAAAATAAAAATAGGGTATATTTTGAAAAATTTAAAGTTTTGTAGAAATTGCCCCCACTAACAACTATGAATGTTAGGGTTAATTTTATATTTTACAAAATAATTAGGATGTCTGATAAAAAAAAAATAATTAGGATGCCACTTGCATCAGCCAAACCAACCACATCAGCCACCACAACCTCAAGCATAGAGATGAGTCAGCCAAAATCAACCAAAAAAATTAGTGTGTGGGAGAAGAGAAAAGGAGGAAGCAGGAGAGCCGCGAAACTCTCTGATGGACCCTTAAGCTACCTAACCTCTCTTTAATTTATTGGGTAAAGAAAAGAACTTTACTTGGTATTCTTTTCATCAATGTTCAGAAAGAGAAGAGAAGGGAAAAGATAGAATGGGGAGAGAGAAGAAGAGAGGGCTGGAGGCGTGTGGGAAGAGAAGAGGAAAGGGGCCAGAAAAAGGACAGAGAGAGAAATAAACAAAGAATAGGTGGCCTGTGTAAGTAAATGGGAGAGGATAATAAGGAAAGAAAGAAAAAAATATGAATAAAGATTACAGTAAAAGATTATTTTCAGAGAGGTATGTTACGTGGTTGTGTACGGTGGGTGCAGCCTGAAAATTGTTAAATTTGGGTGGATTTCGATTAAACCTACTAACCTAACACCTCAACTTGAACATTCCCCAAAATATTGGATAGAGAATTTTTTGTTAAAATTCAACTCAAGTTCTGAAGATCTCCACCTAATTATTGTTCAAGTTGGATTTAGATTGGTCCGATTAAGTTACACCGTTACGGGTGGATAATTTACGGTATTTAAGTCTAAACAAGATTTTGTATCCAAGCTTTTTTAACGCCAGCTCTTGTTACACATTGCTTCAGGGTAAATAAATTGCATATTTAACGTTGTTATAACAAAAGTGTATAAGAAAAAGAGCAGTGAATGGGTTTTTACTAGGACTGATGGTTGTGTTAAGTACTACTTGATGTTTTGGAATACGTTGTCGTAAACTTGTTCTCATACTTTTTTAATCCTGTTCTTCGTTAGTCATGAAAAACAGGCGATGCCACAACTTTAATATTGTATACTTAAACGTAGGTCGTGCGAAACAATATATTTTCAAGAATTTGAGATGGAATCCTCATGGAATTGTAAAAACAAAAAACACAGA